CCCCTGCATCGGCAGGCGGACTCTCAACCACTGCGCCACCAGGGAAGCCCGACTCTCAAGACTTTCTGAGAGGCAATGTAGAGATGTTACCACACCGGCTCTGTTGCCAACCCATTTGGGTTGAAACCCTAGGTATATCATTCATTAGCTGTGGGATTTGGGCAAAATGCCTAACTATTCTGCGCCTCAGTTTCCCCATCTACACAATGAAGATCAGATTTCTGAGAGGCAATGTAGAGATGTTACCACACCGGCTCTGTTGCCAACCCATTTGGGTTGAAACCCTAGGTATATCATTCATTAGCTGTGGGATTTGGGCAAAATGCCTAACTATTCTGCGCCTCAGTTTCCCCATCTACACAATGAAGATCAGATTGGTGCCCACCTTATCCGGTTGTTGCTGATGCTTAGCATATAGTAAGATTTTGGTGGGGGCAGTAAAGAGGGCAGTGGTCTGGTGGTTAGCAGGATAGGACTCTAGAGTCAGATTACGCCCAGCCAGAGCCCTAGCTCTGCCACTTGGGCAGAATACCTATTTCCTTGGTGGGCTGCGGGGTCAGGGGTTGGAGGTGGGGCCCCTTACCTTTCTGACTTGGAGATTGCCGGGGCTGCCGGGGGTCCGCACAACCAGCAGGGGGCGCAGATAATTGTTCCACAGACGGTGAGGGTCCAGTTGCCCCACCACCCTCCGTACCCCGGCTTCGGGGAGACTCCCGATAGACGGGCCCTTGGGAAGGAGGTGGGGAAGAGAAGAGCAGAGCGTGAAAGCAGCACTCATTCCAACCCTACCCTGGGAGCTGTCGTCCCTAAGAAGCCCCAGTTCCTCTTCCTAATCGCAGCCTCCAGCATCGGAGGTTTCTAGGATAAATCCTAGACTCGGGAAAGTCCCCCCAAGCCCATCCGGCCCAGCCCAGCCCCATCTTGATGGGGGAAATCGAGGCCTAGCGAGAGTAAGGGACTCTTCTAAATAAATGACTTTAGGATTAGAACCCAGAACTCCCAGTGTTACTCCTCCAGACCCTTCCTCTTACGGGGTAACCGCTATTACAGAACAAGCCCGAAGCCTCATTCCGTTGGAAAGAGGCATGTGCTCTAAAGACGGAGACGGCAGCACCTGCAGCTAGGGCAATACGATAAAGTCACGTCAACCTGAAACCTCGGAGAAGGGGAGGCGGGGAATAAGGGCTCTCGCAGTGCCCGCGTCCCGTCCCAGCCTCACCCGCAGCTCCCGGCCTAGCGGCAGCTCCTCAGTCTGGCGGTGCCAGCCGCTCCAACTGGTGTATAACACCGAGGCCACCGCCAGCGCCAGCAGCAGCAGAGGCAACAGCTGCGCCCGAGGTAGCAGGCGGCGCTTGGGCGGTGAGGGTGGCTCCAAAAGGCCGCGTTCCCCGAGCCGTAGCCGGGGCCGCCCGCGGCCCCCGGAACGCATGGCAGCTTTGCCCTGAAACCGGTCTGGGACAGCGGATAGAGTTTAGGCCCAGCCAAGTCCCACCCCGTGGAATCACGGGACCAATGAGCAACAAGAGCGGCTGCACCATCCCACACTTCCGCGGGCAGTAAAGCCAATGGGACTTTCGTTCTGAGGACACGCCTCCCTGTCTCCCCGAGCTTTGGGGGTTGGTTCCCCTGAGGGTTGCACAACCCAAAAGGGAGCGCGAAAGAGGTAGGCACCGCCTCAACGGAGGAGGGGAAGCCAATGAGAAGCGTTTGATCATGGAAAACATTCGACCTGCCGGGCGCAGGTCCACGCCCCTCCCGGATGTAGGCAAAGGATTGGTTACCCCTAGTCAAAAGATCAATAGACACTTAAATAAACGATCCCCGAAGGAAAAGAGGAGGTGTCCATCCCGGAAGCGAGGAACGGATTGGCTTCGCGGAGGTCGCTCCCCCAAAGGCAGGGCGGGCGGGCATGTGGAAATAGCTTGTCCTTTCCTTCCTTCAACCTGTGCGGTTCTACAACAAAATGGTTTGAATCAGTCCCGATTTCTTTTCCTCTCCACTGTCGTGAACATCCGCCCCGTACTGTCCTGAATGGCCGGGAATCACCATGTGAAGCTTTTATCCCACAGCCGCGAAGGGCTGGTGGAAATCGCTATGGCAACTGGCCACGCCCCCATCCGCTGGTTGGGTTTGCGCAGGCGCCCACGGAAGTGGGCCGCAGGAAGAGGAAGTCCCGCCTCTATCGCGCTCTCTGCGGAAGGCTGAGGCAACGCGGAGACGGTAGTGAATTGAGAGTGCGGCCACCACCATCGCCAACATGTGAGGCCGGGCTAGGCTTAGGTGGCGGGAGTGGGGTTGAGGGTGTATATTTGGCCACTTACCGGTGGAAGGGGATGGGCAGAGCCGGGGGCGGAGGCAAACATTTTAGGGGTAAAGTGGCGTACTTTTCTACTGATGCGTTTGAGAACGGACGTGGGGCCTTTGACGGATTCTGACTTCGGGAGGAGGGACAGCTTTATCTGATAACGGGCTGGGCTTTCCCAAATAATGAATCTTACTGAAATGAATTTTAAGGGGAAGCGCTTTTACGAATAAAGAACCTGGAAGAGGGGAGTACGGACTTGTAGGAAAAGCGATCTTAGATAAGGGGTTTATACGGAAAATTTGAGCTGGAGACGGTTGGCTTTCCAACTACATTCTCGATTTTTACGGATAACGAGTTACGGGAATGATTTTCCTTACGTATTCATTCAACAATTATTTATTGAGTGCTCCTATATCAGGCTGCTTTAGACCCATAGGCTCTATCAGTAAATTACCCCACTCCCCCAAGGAAGAAAATCCCCTTCTGCATCTTATGGGATGGGAAGAGGCAGGCAGTAAACGTAATGGTAATAAACAGGTAAAGTATGTGGTGTGTTAGGTGACCGGGACTATGAATAAAGAAACAGTAGAGCAGGGTGAAACAATGTGGAACGCCAGTTTTGAGAGACAGGACACATAAAGGAGGTGACACTTGAGTAAAAACCTGAAGAAAGAGAGTGTACCACAGAGATATCTGGGGAGGTATCCAGGAAGAGGGAAAAGCAAATGCAGGGACTCAAGAAGAAAGTTTGCCTAATATCTATTTTTTAATATAAATGTATCTATTTTTATTTATTTATTTTTGGCTGCGTTGGGTCTTCGTTGCTGCGCGCAGGCTTTTCTCTAGTTGTGGCGAGCGAGGGCTACTCTTCGTTGTGGTGCGCGGGCTTCTCATTGCGGTGGCTTCTCTTGTTGCGGAGCACGGGCTCTAGGCGTGCGGGCTTCAGTAGTTGTGGCTCGCGGGCTCTAGAGCGTAGGCTCAGTAGTTGTGGTGCACGGGCTTAGTTCCACTGCATGTGGGATCTTCCCAGACCAGGGCTCGAACCTGTGTCCCCTGCATTGGCAGGTGATTCTTAACCACTGTGCCACCAGGGAAGCCCATGAGAGGGTTTTGAAGAGTGAGATGATATATGACTTGAGTTTTGGCACCATCCCCGAGACTGCTTTGTGGAGAGCAAACTGTTGGGGAGCGTGGATGGAGGCAGCAAGACCAGTAGGAGAGAGATGATGGAGGTTTAAGCCATGGTAAGAAATGGACAGATTCCGATATATTTTAGCGGCAGATGACAGGATTTGCTGACAGATTTAATATAGGATGTGGGAGAAGGAAAGAAGAGTCAAGTTGACATTAAGAGTTTTTGCTTAAAGAACTAGAAGGATGGAGTTGCCATTGATGGAGATGAGGAAGGCTGTGGATAGTATAGTATAAGTTGGGGGTATTGGGGGATCTGGAGTTCAGCCTAGGAAGTGAAGGGTGGAAATGTCTGTTAAGCATCCAAGCAGTGATGCCAAGAGAGGACCGAGCAGGAGGGTGGGTGTGTGAGGGAGACACCGAGCCAGAGGCCATGACCACCCAGGCTCCAGCTCTGGGCCCTCTCACCTATGGGTTCCATACTTGCCCACTTAGGAGCCTCCTCAACAAGCCCAAGAGTGAGATGACCCCGGAGGAGCTGCAGAAGCGGGAGGAGGAGGAGTTTAACACAGGGCCACTCTCCGTGCTCACCCAGTCGGTCAAGAACAACACCCAAGTGCTCATCAACTGCCGCAACAACAAGAAGCTCCTGGGCCGTGTGAAGGCCTTCGACAGGTAAAACGCCTGGGTCTGGGGAGGTGTTCTTTCCAGGCCTGGAGAAGCAGTCCCAGCTCCAGTCCGAAGCCCAGGGCAGAAGCATCTCAGGACCTCAAGATGTGGTGGTCTATCGTTGTCCCTCCAGCTGTGAATCACAGTGGTTATGGTCATGTACTTGGGAGCCAGTCTTCCTGGATTCATGCCCAGCTCTGCCTCTTAACAGCCATGTGACCTTTGGCAAGTGACTTTATCTTGTCCGTACAGTGGCAGTAATCATGGTGGTTGCAAAGATTCAATCACTTAATATATGTGAAGTGTAGTGAGTCGAGCATTTGGCACCCAGAGCTCTTAATCAGTTTTTTTGCAGTTATTGCATAATGAGAGTGTCCACCTGGGTCAGGTACTGTTTTAGGCTCCAGAGATACAGCAATGATGGAAACAAACATGGTTCCTATACTCAGGGAGCTTATGCTGTAGGCAGGGAAGCCGACAGCAAACATGTAAATAATGTCGTAAAGACAAGTGATGATAAATTCTATGCAGAAAAGTAAAGCCAGGTAAGAGTTTGAAGTACTGGGAAGGGGGTGCTGTCTTAGGTAGGTAATATGGGAGGCCTCAAAGGAAGGGGCAACGGTGGACAGATACCAATAAAATGAAGGTGCAAGCTAGGGTCTGAGTGTTTCAGCCATAGGGAGCAGCAAATGATTTTTCCTCTCTGGGCCTCAGTTTCCTTATCTGTGAAATATGCATCATAATAATATCCCTCAGAACATTTGTGAGGCTTAAATGATATTATGTATGAAGAGCACTTGGCTCAGTACCTAACACATAATAAATGCTCAGTAAACATATGACATGCAGCCTTTAGTTAGCATTTGGGAAGTGCTTTCCTCACAGTGGTGTGATGAAACTTACTCCTGGAATGCTTTTGCCACTAGCTTTTATGTGACCATGAACAAGTCTTTCACTCAGCCTTAGTTTCCCCTTGAGTAAAATGAGAATGAGAGGGCTTCCCTGGTGGCGCAGTGGTTGGGAGCCCACCTGCTGATACAGGGGACACAGGTTCGTGCCCCGGTCCAGGAGGATCCCCCGTGCCGCGGAGTGGCTGGGCCCGTAAGCCATGGCTGCTGGGCCTGCGCGTCCGGAGCCTGTGCTCCGCCACGGGAGAGGCCACAACAGTGAGAGGCCCGCGTACTGCAAAAAAAAAAAAAAATGAGAATGAGAACAACAGGAAGTGCTGGGTACAGGAGGCAGATAGGTCTGGATTCGAACACAGGCTCTGCCACTTCCAGACTCTGTGACCTTGGGTGAGTCACTTCATCCCACTATGCTCAGTTTCCTGCTCTAGAAGCTGGAGAGAACTAGTAAACCAGTCAGTGTTTATGTCCTGGGGGTGAGATGCAGGGAGGATTGATGGGTTAATGCTTAGAAAGTGCTTAAAGGGGCCTGGTGAGTGCCTATATGGTAAGTGCTCAATAGGTGGTGGATATATATACATATATATAATTTTTTAACTTGACTCTTTACTTTCCCCCTAGCTTCCTCCTCTGCCCCCATATCATCTTCTCATCCCTCTCCCCACCCAGCCTACCACCCTAGTATGTGTCCTGCCATGTTTGATTCACCCAGAGACTCCCTTGTGGTGGTAGTTAACAGCTTTATTGAGGCATAATTGATCTGTCATAATATTGTTTTTAAGATAGAATCATCCGTGTGCTCTGTTGCATCTTGTTTTTTTCACACAAATCAGTGGTCTGAGGACATCACTGCAAGTTAGCTAGGGCATTCTTAACCACTTTATTTACTTAATTATGTTACTTTCTTGAGTGAGCGATGGATGCAAAATTTGAAAAATAAAAAAGGCACCCAATGAAGAGCAAGTCTTCCCTCTCCATGCCCCAGTTGCCCTCCCTGGGGACCCCATCATGGCTAATTTCTCAGGTCTCCTCCAGGAGGATTACTTGCACAGAACATCATACATGTAGATACAGGAGAGTGCTTTTTATTTATTTTTATTTATATTTATTTTTATTTACTAATGGCATGCCACGCCGTTTTAGACCTTGGTTTTTTCACTTAACAATATACCTTGGAAATGTTCCCATATTGGTATGCTACTTCCTTTTTTTAACTTATTTTCTCTGAATTGGTAATATATTCACATGATTTCCCAAACAGTAATAACAGTCCAATGAAAAGTTTCCATCTGGTTTGTCTCCAGTCTACCTAGGTCACCCCACTGCCACCAGTCTTTAGGTGTATTTCAAGGATTTAGTATTGGCACAACCAGGTGGTGGAATGTATGTTTTTCCTACCCACTTTTTTCCTACAGAAGGTTGCTTTCCATGCATCCTGTTCCCTCCCTTGCCTTTTTCACTGGGCAGTATCTCCTGGAGGTTACTGCATAGCAAGGCACAGAGCTTCCTCATGTGCTCCTCACGAGCTTCCTTGTCTTTCTTTTTTTTTTTTTATAAATTTACTTATTTTATTTATTATTTTTGGCTGCGTTGGGTCTTTGTTGCTACTCTGCATTGCGCTGCGTGGGCTTCTCACTGCAGTGCCTTCTCTTGTTGCGGAGCATGGGCTCTAGGCACGGAGGCTTCAGTAGTTATGGCGCCCAGGCTTAGTTGCTCCGTGACATGTGGGATCTTCCCGGACCATGGCTCAAACCCATGTCCCCTGCATTGGCAGGTGGATTCTTAACCACTGCGCCACCAGGGAAGCCCCCTTGTCTTTCTTATGCTTGATAATATTTCCCTGTATCCTCCTATCCCTTTACCTTGCTTTAATTTTTCTTCATAGCACTTGCTACCACCTGACAGTATATTACAGGTGTCTTTGTTTACTTGTTTAGTGTTCTTCTCCCCTCACTAGACTGCAGACCCCATGAGGGCAGGGATATTATCTCTTTTATTCATTGCTGTATTCATTGCAAGCATTTGTTGACTGAGCTAATCCATACTGTCGTCACACGTGCCCACCCAGCACCCTGAGGACAGGGACAGAAAGCAGGACTGGAGTGGAGGCGTCACGTACCAGCCTCAGGCCCCAGGGACCTCTGGTTCTCCAAAGAGAAGTTGTACCTTTGCTTATGCCACCAGAAGTACTCGGAGTTAAAAAACACAAGCAGCACCATTTCATTTGCCTTTATCCTGTGCCAGGCCCTGTTCTAAGTACTTAACAAGAATACTGTATTGATTCATTTAATCTTCACAACAGCCCTAGGAGATAGGCACCATGAATGTCTCCATTATAGAGAGGAGGAAACTGAGGCACAGAGGAGTGAAGTCCTTTGCCCAAGCTTCAAGCTGAGGACTTGCAGCGGTGGCCTTGGAGCCCTGGCCATCCTGGTCCCGGGCCTGCACCTTCCCCCATGCCACGCTGATGGAGGAAGAGGCAGTGCTGCACAGAGGAGGGGATCAGGAGGCTCCCTCTCATTCCTGATGCCTCCTTCTGCCCACCAGGCACTGCAACATGGTGCTGGAGAACGTGAAGGAGATGTGGACCGAAGTCCCCAAGAGTGGCAAGGGCAAGAAGAAGTCCAAGCCAGTCAACAAGGACCGCTACATCTCAAAAATGTTCCTGCGCGGGGACTCGGTCATTGTGGTCCTGCGGAACCCGCTCATCGCCGGCAAGTAGGGGCCTCCTCCCTGCCGTCAGAACTTACCCCCTCGTTTTGCAAAGACCTGCCCTTTGTGCTGGGAATAATAAAGTCATGTGTTTTTTCTAGTGCCCTCTGTCTGTTCACAGGGCCTAGAGTGGGGCAGACCCAGGAGGGGGGCAGCCAGGCATGGGGCCAAGCACGAGGATTGGGACCTCTCTGAGCAGGTGAAGAGGCCTGGTCTCTGCCCCTTCCAGGCCTGACTTTCCCCTTCTGTGAAGTGAATTGGTTGGGCAGAGGGAGCTTTTGCTGCCTTTTGTGCTTTAATTTGTTCTAGCTTCTCGTCACTTTCTCTTTCTCTTCCTTCTCCCCACCTCTCAGTAAGTCGGTCTCACTCAAAATTTCTTTCAGTCTTTTTTTTTTTTTCCATTTGTTCAGTCAGACATTCCCCCAAGTGCCTGCTCTGTGCCCAGCCCTGTGTTGCAATGCCGGGGACACAGCCGTGCCCAGAAGAGCCCCCAGGATGCCCTCACTGACAGGAGAAAGAGCTGCAGTTAAAGCAGTTAGTACTCAATACCAACAGCATTTGTAGCTGACATCTGACCTGTGCGGTTGCCAGGCCCTACACTCTGTGCTGTTCAGACTTCCTAACAATTCTGAGCAGGCACTGTGATTTATTACTTCCAGTTCCGGAGGCGGGGACTGGGGCACAAAGAGGTGATGGCGCCTCCCCAGGGGTATCCAGCCAGAAAGTGGTGATGCCGCCATTCAAACCCACCCTGCACCTGACCCTGTGGCCTAGCCCCTGACCTCTGCTGCCCTCAAATCACAGCTTAACTACCCTTGAGAGAATCTCTGACAAATGTAGGGAGATAGAGGTGGGAAAGGGGGACCTTACTTATTGTGGGTGGATTAAGAGAAATCCGTGTCTTGCTCTGACGCACACACATCATGCTACCCCCCACCCCCCCACCCTCCAGCTCTCTCTGTGTTCTGTCTCTGCATCTCTGTCTGTGTTCTCCAGATAGGGCCAGGTGCCAGGCTGGTGCAGTTCGCAAGTCTGAGGTCAGGGTCGAATGAGTTGTCTGACACACTGAGCTGTGGAAGGCGCAGCCATGATCCTGTTAGCAACAGAGCTGAGGACCCTGCAGCAGGAGAAGGCCTGACACATGCAAGGCAATGGCTATGAGGTTATAAAGGCTCATGTTTACTGAGTGGTTCACATCTAATTTGAACAATCATCTGGGGGATAGATGCTAGAAGCACCCCATTTTACAGATGAGACAGTCGAGGCCCAGAGAAGGTAAGCGACTTGCCCAGGATCACTCAGGAAACAATGGAGCCAAGTTCAAACCCAGAGAGCCAGGCCCTCATGACTGTCAGGGAGCAGGATGGAGCCATAACAGTGTGGGGAATGATGCTGCCGCAGGAAACTTTACCCCCAGGATTTGGTTCTTGTGCAGGAGCTGGGACAGCACAAGCCCCAGGGTCACAGTTCGAATCCCTGCCCCACATCCCTCCTGTTCTCCCCGGGAAATAGGAATTCTTTTCCCTGCCTTGCAGGCTGGCAGCAAAGATTCTAGCCTAGGACACCCCTGGCTGGCATCAATCTGAATTTCCTCATCTCTTTACCCAACCCATTGCCCAAATGGCCTCTAATCCCCTCTTCCGTTATGGTGAGTGAAAGTGAAAACAGAGGTTGCAGGAAAAGCACTAGGCAAACTGGCCAAGTGTGCTCCATGCACCAGGCAGTATCCTAAGAGTTACTCATTGAAATCTCAGGCAACCCTAGGATGTTGGTACCATCATTATTCCCATTTTCCAGAAGTGAAACTTAGGCACAGAGAGGTTAGGAATTTTCCCCAAGTCACACAGCTAATCAGTAGCCAAAAACTAAGATTTGAACTAGGCCGTTTCCTGCAGCTTTATTATTCCTACACCACCTTTCTGGAGAAGCAGCTCTCAGAAAATGTTTGGCACACACACAAT